CTCTCTCTCTCTCTCTCTCTCTCTCTCTTTTAGGACACTAGTGTAGGATCTTTGGTAATATTAGCACATTTGTTTGACAACGGTGTCGCATTTTTTGCCTTCCCCAATACCAGTCAACGACAAAGATCGTACATAACAAGATATTTCACTCAGTCAAAAAAGTGTCAACGGAAATCCACGCATTGGTTCAGATGGCGCCGCAGTCTTTGTTTTGAAGCTCTTTGTCGTTTCTTCAGAAGAAGAATTTTTGAACAACAGTTTGTTAGTTTCACTTTTTTTGTTTTTCACACAAGTAGGGTAACTCTGATCGCCAAGTCCGCACTTTTTCAAAGAGGGGGCCGCCGAATTTAGAGGACACTTTTTAATTGGCTCAAAGAGAGGAGTGAATTATCTTGTTATACACGATCTTTGTCCACGCACGATGTGATTGCGTTCAGAAAATTTACAGCCAAATGATTGGTAGATTGGTCGTTACACGTAACGTCTTGCTGGCAACAAGGAACGGCATAAATCTTTTTTTAAAAACGTATTTTCGTGGAGCACCATGTACGTTAGAAGAAAGTTGACTGGGTTAAGGCATTTTTACGCCCTTATCAACACAGTTGAAGTCATTTAGGAGGTCGGCTTTCACCTTGTCTGTCAAGATCAACTCGAGCTGAGAGAAATACAACATCCCTGCAAAAGACAGCTATACTTTTTTAAAATTTAAAAATTTAAGAAAGATAAAGTATTAATTTTTTAGAAAGAAAATAATAATATTACATCTCTACCTAGGAATCGAACTCCGGTCTCCTGCGTGCTACAACAAAGCGCCTAACAGCTACACCACAGACGACGGTCCTTTTTTTATTCTTCACAGCCTATCTTGACATCAACCAGGCTAATGACCTTGACCTTACCTGGGATGTTTTGCAGTATGACCTTAATGCCGGACGCAGCGGTCACCTGGACTTCTCCGTTCTGGTCAAGCACTCCAACAGAGCCTCTCACAGTGTCCGCCGGGTCAGAGCGATCCAAGTGACCCTGAGAGAGA